AAGAGAGAAGTCACATTGAAGAGTGAGAGACCTTGAGAAGAGAGAGGAGATTCCATAGAGGGAGAGGAAATTTCCGCCCGATCCGTGAAAGATGAGCCTGTCACCGTCGTATGTGTGAGAGAGAGTGGGAGATCGCGGTAATACATACCGGTGAAGAGCATCGCTAAAAAACAGCAGAGCCTCGTCGTGAGAAGAGGAGAGAACAGAGCGTCCTCGTTAGAGAGAGAGAGAGCAGCAGTATATATGATTTAATGATGATAATGTTTTAGGTCTGTTTTATTATAAATATATAATTGTAATTTTAATTCGGGAAAAACCGAGCTGCCAGCCGATGACGGCTTACAGTTATCCCGTCCCCGCCCCGAATTAATCGGGAGTGATTTTTTAATACATCCCCGCCCGCGCGGGATATTTTTCGAAAAACCAACTTATTTCGGTCGATCGTCCTCGTCGGCCGGGTTTATATTGCCATCCCTTATGTCATGTCTCCAAATTACCTAGAATAGAATTGCCCTATCAAGAGAAGTCTCAAAAAATAGAGATAACAAATATTCTAAAAGCTCTTGAAAAACTTAAGAGAATATAAAAATGATACATATTCTATAATATACATGGAAAGATCTAGAAAAATTCTAGAGCATTCAAGTGAATATTAGAGGGATAGACGCAATAGAATCCTAAAGAAATGGATGTGGTAAAAGATCTTTGTACTTACTTCTAGAATGAGGTAGATGTTTGCATAATATTTTTAGGAGGATTCTAAAACCCTTTGTAGGGTAAGGAAAGCTTCCATGAGAAGCTTCTCCATAATCCTTTTTTGTATGCTCTATAATATTCTAGAGAAAGGCCAAGATGCCTATAAATAAGAGAGGGGCTCATTGCTTCATCAATGATTTAAGAGTTGTAAAGTCTCAAATAATACAAAAAATATTTTTCAAACTCTCATTGCCTTTTTTACTGGCCTTTCTTGCTAGTTTGTGAGTTAGGCTGACTTATCATCATCAAATGAGATTTTGAGATTGTTTAAGTGCTACACGGAGTGTTTGAAATTACCTAGTCTGACAACTTGCCCTTACTATTGGTTAAGGATATAGCCAATGTAAAATTCGTAAATATAAATTACTCACTGGCTGGAGTACGAATTTGCATTTTTTTAATTTGTTTTTCTGTTTATCCTTCAGTAATGCTTAGACTCATAATTTAGATCTCTAAATTTATCTACAAAGATGTGGCAAAGAGACAAACCCTACACAATTGAGTATATAACAAACTAAAAATTAATATGCATCATATCACATCATTATGGATCAAATTGTAAATTTTTTTTTTTTATAGATCTTAAACATTTTCCTTTATATTTGTAGCCCAATTGGTGCCAAGCTAGTTTGCTTTTGATATTGTATAAAACATTAAATTATTTAAAAATATAAAATGTTTACTTTAATATTTTTTTAATAAATTTATTAAAAAAAATTCTAATTAGATTCATAATTTTAATATAATTATATTGATTATTTTTCTGTAAAGTAAAATAAATTAAAATTAATACAAATGATATGAAATACAAATATATCAGCATTTTTCCATTGCTAACTAATTTTTAATGAAAAAATAGGCCAAAGTTGTCATTTTATTAAAATTTAAGAAAAATCAACGTTAAATTTGTTGGAATTAGTTTTTTTTTTTTTTATATTTATTTATTATGAGAATCAATGCAACAAATATAATAACAAAAGGAATGGCCTTTTCTATGTCCATTTTGTAGACGGTCATACTGTTGGTTCGTGGGACTTACCCCAAAAAAAATTACGTTGATCAGATATTAATAGTTTTTAATTAAAATATTTTTTTTGTTAACATTTATTTTTAAAATCATATTTATCATTAACAAAAATGTGTTTCGATCAAGAACAACCGATATCTGATTAATATGAGTTTTTGCAGAGATGAAATACTGACAAACTCTAATATTCAACGGTTTTGATTATCGAGACAAGACTCATGATGGATTCCACAGACCTAACAGCACGGTTCAATTAGCCAAAAAAGGTATTTTTGACTTTTTAACTTTTTAAGATTTCGACAACAACAGTAAAAAGCCAACTTTTGCTTTTTAGCCAAAAAAGTCAAATTTTTTTTACCCAAAATAACCAGCTTTTTACCAAAAAAAATCAAAAAATAAAAACTAATTTTTTACCAACTTTTCAAAACACCTTGTAAAATTAAAAAAAAAGCTCATTTTATATAAATATATTGAAATTTAGTACTTTTTACAATTTTAACACATAACTTATAAAATTGTCATTAACGTAACTCAAAACAAAATTTGACAATAATACTTTGAAATTCATTTTCAATAATGTTTCTTTCATGCTAAATTATAACACTGTTCTATCACGAAATTTGAAAAACGACCATGCTACGTAACTCGAAATCGCGGCTTGAAATCGGCGGCTCGACACCAAAACGTCGTTTTGTGTCGAATTTTTTTTTTTTTTCTGATTTAGTGTAATATATTAGGTATATTTTATGTTAAAAAAAATTAAAGAAGGCCCAAACTAAATTAAAATAAATTGACTCATTAAAAAATTAAAAAGCCCATTCCAAGAAATTAACATTGTTATCTATTAAAAATAGACCCAAAAAAGGGTCCTCCTATTATAGTTTATTGTAATATAAGGAAAATGTTTAAAATCTAAAAAAAAAAAAAAAAAAAAAAAATTTACAATTTGATCCATAATGATGTGATATGATGCATATTAATTTTTAGTTTGTTATATACTCAATTGTGTAGGGTTTGTCTCTTTTGCCACATCATTGTAGATAAATTTAGAGATCTAAATTATGAGTCTATAGCATTACTGAAGGATAAACAGAAAAACAAATTAAAAAAATGCAAATTCATATTCCAAGCAGTGAGTAATTATATTTTACGAATTTTACATTGGCTATATACTTAACCAATAGTAAGGGCAAGTTGTCACGACCTAGGTAATTTCCAAACACTCCGTGTAGCACTTAGACAATCTCAAAATCTCATTTGATGATGATAAGTCAGCCTAACTCACAAACTAGCAAGAAAGGCCAGTAAAAAGACAATGAGAGTTTGATAAAATATATTTTGTATTATTTTGAGAACTTTACAACTCTTAAATCATTGATGAAGCAAATGAGCCCCTCTCTTATTTATAGACATCTTAGGCCTTTTCTAGAATATTATAGAGCATACAATAAAAGGACTATGGAGAAGCTTCTCATGGAAGCTTTCCTTACCCTACAACAGGGTTTTAGAATCCTCCTAGAAATATTTATGCAAACATCTACCTCATTCTAGAAGTAAATACAAAGATCTTTTACCACATCCATTTCTTTAGGATTCTATTGCGTCTATCCCTCTAATATTCACTTGAATGCTCTAGAATCTTTTCTTAGATCTTTCCATGTATATTATAGAATTATGTATCATATTTTTATATTCTCTTAAGTTTTTCAAGAGCTTTTAGAATATTTGTTAGTCTCTATTTCTTGAGACTTCCTCTTGATAGGCAATTCTATCTAGGTAATTTGGCGAGACATGACAATAGGGATGGCAATATAAACCCGGCCCGACGAGGACCCGATCCCCGACCCCGAAATAAGTGGTTTTTCCCCGAAAAATATCCCCGCGGGGGCGGGGATGGTATTAAAAAATCACTCCCCGATTAATTTCGGGGCGGGGACGGGGATAACTGTCCAAGCCCCGTACCCGGCCCGGCCCCGCCCCGTCCCCCGCCCCGGTTTGTTCCCCGAATCAAAATTACAATTTCACCCCTATATATATATATAAAACCCAGACCTAAAAATATTCTTAGATTTTTTTATTTTTTATTTTTTTAAAAATAAAAAAAGACCTAAATGGACTATAAAATATTATTATTATTTTTTATGAGAAATGTAGGCAAGTAATGAATAACAAAAAATAAAAGTTAATTGAAAAGGCTACTTTACAGTTTATTTAACAAATACTACTCAACAACTTAAATTTATAATCTAACAATTACACCAAACAGATTAATAGTTTCAAATTAAAGTCATAATTTATAATCTGTTAACCTATAATATATAATCTGTTTTAACAATTACACCAAACGAGCCCATTATATTACGAGGAAGGGGATTATGATTTGTATTTCAATTTGGAAAGTAAGACTCTATAATTTATGATATAAAAATAATTTAAATAAATTAAAAATTAAATTATTTAAAAATTAAGGTAAGAGTGCTTTTTAGGTTTTATTTATTTATTTATTTTTGTGAACTTTTAAGTAGAGAAAAATTACACTAAACAAATGGATTCAAGATTATGAAGATGGCTAAGACCATCTCCAACGGTGAATCAAAGTTGGTATCAGATTCAAATTTTGATGAAAAAGGCACTTTTTTATGCTCCAACCGTTGCACCAGATTGATATCAAAATGAGATTTCAGCAAAAAAAGCATCAAACTGAGAACGAGACACAGATTTTACCAAATCACTGTTACTGACTGTTGAAAGAGGTACACCGGTCAACCAGCCGGTTGCCCGGCCGGTTAACCAACCGGTCAACCAGTAAAAGATTCAAACAGTTCAGGAAAAAAAGTTCAAACCGTTAAAAAAAAAAAAAAAATTTGCCTAACCGGTCAACCGGCTGGTCGACCACCCCGGTCGTCCCGAAAAAATTCAGAAAGTTCAAAAAAAAGTTCAGACAATTCGCCAAAAAAAATAAAAAAATAAAAAAATTTTGCCTACCTAGTCAACCGGCCGGTCGACCACCCGATTGTCCCGGGATAGATTTGGTGAAAGATGAACCGTTGGAGTGAGTGGTATCAAATTTAGTAAAATGGATCATTTTTTACTCAAATTTAATAAAATGAGTCATTTTTTACTCAAATTTAATGAAAAATTTGAATCACCGTGGGAGATGCTCTACCCTATGGCTGCCAAATTCTACCAGGCAGCCCCATCAGTTTCAGTCCACGCCATGTCTATTCAGTTTCACGGTTTGCTCAGGACACGTGGAACCCCTTCAATTCCACCATCGCCGTCTCCTCCGGGACTGCCTTTTCATGTGCATCCACTACACGTGTTCTCCATCAGTACGCCCTTTCATTAACGCCGTCACTAAATCTAACGTCTCTCTCTCTCTATAAACCGTCGTTACACTGAAAAGCCCGAATGTGAAGTGAAGTACGAGTATCAAACTTCGAAACAATGAAGTCTATACTTTTGCGAACCGGTTCTGTCCCGGTCCAGCTCCAGTCCTTCGTGCCCGGTTCTCCAAGACTCTCTATATCCCTTCACGACTCCGCTGCCGGTTTTTTCTCCGGCGACAAGACCGGTTCGGCTTCGCCGAGAATTTTGCTGCATTTGAATATCGGTCGCCGGAGTGATTCTACTCCGGCAAGGGGCATAAGGAGGGTGTCGTCGGAGTCCGACGTCATCCTATCGGAGACTGAAGCTTCGAGGCTGAGCGGCATTGGATCGCGCTCTTTTCCGGCGATAATACCGGAGGAGGAGTGTATCGGACCTATAGGATCCTTGATGTTGAGTGAAAGAGATTTTGATCGCAGGAATTACGCCAGTCATTGGCCGGAGAGTCGAATTCCGGTGCAGGAATTAGGATTTCCAGGCGGCGGCGGCGACGATGATGATTGTTCTACTGGTGTTTCCACCGGCGGCGACGCCGATCGGAGCAAGATCGGTGCGTATTACGAGGAAATGCTGAAGTCTAACCCGACGAATTCACTTATTCTCAGGAACTACGCCAGGTTCTTGCACGAGGTAATTTCGCTTCAATTTCATCAAATCTCAATTAAATTGATGCTTGAAAATGTTTGTGTTTGTCAGATTTGAATTTGTTTTGATCTCTGATTGATTGCTTGGATTGACGATTATCTATTGTTGTTTGAAGGTGGAGAGGGATTTTGTGAAAGCGGAGGAGTACTACGGAAGAGCAATACTCGCCAGTCCTGGAGATGGAGAGGTGTTGTCACTATACGCAAGGCTGATTTGGGAGACTCAGAGAAACGAAGATAGAGCCAAGTCCTACTTCGATCAAGCTCTTCATGCCTCTCCCAACGACTGGTAAAATTCAAATCTCTACTCATAATTAAAAATGTTGTGTTTGGTTGTGATTTCAAAATGTGATTCAATTTGAGTATGGTGTGGATGGAGATGTGGAATTAATTTTCCACAGGTTTGCAGAATGCTCTGTCTGTTCTGTAAAAATCGACAATTTTTTTTTTCAAAACGGGACGTCTGGCCGGTTGACCGGAATAGTGATATTTTTTTTTTTTTTACAATTGATATATAATCAAAAAAAATATTTTTTGAAATTTTTAAAATTTTTTATGTGTTTTAAAATAATTTTGAGTTGTATGAGTTGTAAATTTTTGTATCAAATTTTAAATGTCACATCAATAATTCCCTACTCAAATCAAAACTCTTTTCCAAACAAATTTTTTATACTCAAATCATAATTTCACAACACACAAACTCAAAATACAACTCATACTCTCAAATCACATTTATAAAATTCTACCAAACGCTACCTTAGTTTTTCATGATGATTTTTTGATTTTGAATGTGAAAATTTTAAATTCATTGACAGTATGGTGTTGGGATCCTACGCTCATTTCATGTGGGAGGCAGATGACAAGGATGACGAAATTGAGAGCGAAAATGACATGTCGGCTACAGCAGCGGCAGCCATGGTTGAAGCTTTTTAAGGTTTGCTCTTCTGTCTCATGGTGGTGTGGCTGCGATCGGTAGACATTACTCAAAGAACAGAGTAATATGAAATGGAATTAAAAGAGATCTTTTTGTTATGATATAGATATAATTAACCACTAATGTTGTATTACGTTTGAGTAATAACATTAACAATAACCGGAATAATGAGGGGGAAGAGAGGACTCTAGAAGATAAAAAATGAGAGAGAGAATAGATGGAGAAAGTCTTTTGTTTTTCCTTCATCCGTTTTGTTGTTTGTAATTTGTATAGTACAGTAATCTTTTCATGTCCTTTGGATTAAAAAAAAAAATTCAATGACTAGTCTCAATTTAATTACTTCCGTGTCATTATAGTAGGGCTAGTGATATGTTATTGATTGGTGATATCGCATATTCATAATGACTTGTATCATTGTTGTACTCAAAGTTTTTTTTCCCCACATAGATAGCCAAAATCCCAATTCAAGTTTTTGAACCATGAATCCTACCAAGTAGAAGTGAGGACTAGGTCTTTCTGCAATGATTGTGTTGTGGTAATTCAGCAATTCATGTTTGAAATTGAAGTAAAATTATGTCTTGTTTTGATTTATAAAAAAAAATACACACACGAGAAAAATTACTCAAAGAACTTGTTTGGACTTGATGGAAAACCTATCATAATACATGACAATAGGAATATGATTCTACTCAAGGCTCGTATCATATCCATACTTGTTACAGCACAATGAACTTTTTCTTAATTTTTTTCTTCTTCATAATTTCGAACAAAAAAGTGAGTAAAATAGAAAATGTAATCATAAATAACATTCTCTAAAGGGAGATGCAGATCAAGGTTTAATTACATATTATCATCAACCACTTGAGACAACAGCTTTCACCACTTCATTTGGGAGGGTGCTTAGAGACTTTGGAGTTGTTTTATGGAGTTTGCTTATGGTCTCTTTTGCTCTTCTACTAATTGTCTTCCCAATGGCAACCAATTTACCCTTGCTGTCTCCAGACTTGTTCACAGACTTGCTTTCTTGGCCAAGCAATGGAGATTTTGTATGTGATGCTGTGATCTGTACATATTTGATTTACTCATGAGTACATTTCTGAACTAAAGTTCATCTTATTTCATGCTAACCGTATTTGGTGCTTTAACTCCCAAAAAATTTACGGCCACCGACATTATTATGTCCTTGGTGGGACTGGAGTTAGACTATGACTCAGCTCGTATTGAGGGAGTGCCTCTAGATGTCCAGTACTCCAATGAGTAGTGGTTGAGAAAATGAATGGTTCACTGCTATTATTATTATCTTCTGTGTCTCCTAACCTTACAATCAGTGATTTGAGTTTTAACAGCTTTACCTTCTTTGTTTCTGGTCTAGGAGGTTGACCTTTTTGCTGCTGATAGAAGCTTGGCAATGGCAGTGCTTTGAAAGTGCTACTCTTTTGAATTTTCTTTCCCTCCACTTCACCTCCTTCCTGTTTCTTTACTCATAAACGTGCCTTTTACTAGAAATCATATTAACTAATGCAGTGAAAAACTTGCACACACACAGCATTACTTACCTTGGCATCTAGTTGTGGCTTCTTCTTTTCAGGTTCTTTCCCTTGAGTTTTGTTCTTAGATTTGGGACCATTCTGTATTGTGAGAGCCAAATTGGAAAAACACTTTATTGTTTCACATAAAGAGCAAAATGATTAAATGCATTTGATAGTATAGAGAGAAGTTGGAAAATTCTCACCTCTACCCTTATATCAACAGGCTCACTAGCTGCAATTTTTGGTGGCAAACTTGATCTTGGAGCTGTATTAATTGATTTAGCATGTGTCTGGTTGGAGGTTCTTTCAGCACCAATGGAGGATTGAGACAGAGCCCTGTCCATTCAAAACCTTAATTCCAATCCCAATAAATGTCACAAGCCCTTTAGCCCTTTAATTTTTTATTTTATTTTATTTTATTATTGTTATTATTATTTTTTGTATTATATTTGTTGGAAGCATTCGACCTAAAAATTAAAATTAATTCACAATGGGTGGAGAGAGACTTCTAGAGTATATGGACCAAGCTTGAGTGGCTAGCGTAGAAAGACAATGTAGGAATGCAAAAAACTATCAAGGAGGGCATCGCAAGGGGAAATATTTTCTAGTTGATATCGTACGACAGGTTAGCTTGTAATGTAAACTAAATTGTGCTTATTGTGTTGTGAAGTTAATTACACCTACAAACATGACATTACTTTGTATCAATAATATCTAATAGGCCCCCCCGCGTCTTAGGCTCAGTGGGCAGACAGTCTAGTCCCATAGATATGAAATGACAATTTTGCCCCTTTAGACCAATTTTGAAAAAAGTGAGATTAGGGACAAATTTGTCATTTCAGCCTCACATCATTTCAAACACATTTTTCAATACAACAATTCAAATAAAAATCCATCCTATCTTTCCAAATACAAAAATTAAAATAGAATAGCCAAAATGCCTAAATAATAGCCACTTTCCAAACACCCACTATGTTGATTAGATTTTGAATAGATCTTTGATTATGCTTCACCAGATCACTGATTTAGACTTTAGTGATTTAAACTAAACCTACTAATTTTGAGATTATGGATTCAAACATGTAAATTATGCCAAAGATTATGTTTGTACCTAATCTATCCATTTCAAACCTCTTACTATAAAGGGAACTATCAATGGATTGGGCCATGGATGTGGACTTGTTTATGAGACTTATTTTTTAGGGACAACTCGGTCCAAAACGGTAATACTTTCTATAAGTGTCGGTGGTGATGTGGGTTCAAGTCATCAAAATAGTTCTTCCAAAAATGAGAGGACTCTATATTTTGCTTTCTCCAAACTCTACTTTAAGGAGGGACATGCACTAAGTGAATAGTCCAACTCATTCTAGGACTACCATGAACATTGAGTGAACTTTTTGTGGCTATAACAAACCATTTTGGTTAGAAGGTGAGAATTGACTCAAAATCTACTTGACATCAAATATTTTCCATGTTCAATTGGTAGTATAGCATGAAATCATGAGTTTGTTTGTAAACTTACTTGTAGTTCAAGCTGCCAGATCTTGATAGGGTTGGCTTATACTCCTTAAAATCCATCGAACCTCGCCTTTCTCTGGACATTCTTTTCTCAGTTGCCAAACAAAATGGATGAGGAATCGTGCCCTTTGCCTTGATGTTTTGTTTTGAACCTTGTTTTAATTTCTTTATTGAATCAGTTTGGCTCTTTCCAACTTTTCCAGCTTCATTTTCTTGTCTTTGTTCTTTCACATCCCCTTGCAATTGATTTGCTTCGATCATGTGAATAACTTTATCCTCTTCTTTCTTGATTTCATCTTGATTATCATGGTTTTCTTCTTTACTGATCTGATCTTGTTCTTCAAGACTTTGTTCAATCTGTTTTTCATTTTCCATTTCTGATAGAGAATCTAAAAATAAAAAATAAAAAAAATAATCAACCTCTACAAAAAATAAGGGGAAGACTATGTGCCAACTCTATCTTCAAAACTATGCTACAAGCCATGAAGATTGGGAAAATTTCTGATAAATTTTATTCTTATCAACACAAAATTATTACCCTTTCATGAAAATTGGGTAAATTATACTTTTCATCCAAAAACTTTTATTGGAATTTCACTTTAATCTCTCATATTTAATTGCAAAAATTAAGTATATATAATTTTACTTATGTTTCAATGTGATCTTCTATCACTAGCCATTAAAATTTGAACATAAAATGTTCATATAAGGGCTACATGAATACATTTTAGGGGATCAGATAAAAAATAAAAAAATTGTATGAAAAGTTACACTTTTCACCTTTCAATTTTCACTCAAATTCACTTTAGTCCCTAAAGTTTCAATTTCACTCAAATTTCAAACAATGGAATGGCAAGAGGACAACATTAAAACACATGTTGAAATATGAAGTATGAAGACTTAATTGCAGCAATTAGAAAGTGAGTGACAAAAGTAAGATTTAAGTAAAAATTCGAGCATGAAAAATATAATTTACCCATAAAAATTTCATTAAAAAAGAGACTTTATTGATATTTTCCCATAAGATTTAACAAATAAATGGATGGATAAGCTTACCTTTAGCAACTTCCTCTATGCTCTCTATTGTGGTGTAAAACCTTAAAAGCTTTACTATGTAACTAAACACTAAATTACTTGTTATATATATATGGGTTTCACTAAGTAAGAGAAGCATGAAGATTACTTAATTTTGATTTAAATTTTGATTTAATATATCACTATTGATGATTGACTTTGTATGAGCTAATAATAAATAGTCTTATTTTCCCAAATTGATGCAAGTGGCACATGCAACAACGTTAAGGACATACACTATATGTTGCTACATAGAGTTGCCACATAGCCATGCCTACATGTTTGTACCTATTTGATAACATAAATTATCCGTGTAGTCCCTCTAATTTTTTCTTTGTATCAATTAGGTCCTTATAATTTCAATTATATCAATTATGAGTTTTTACATGATTTTGTCCAATTGATAACATTCATAGGAAATTAGATAGAAATCAAAAGCAAAATATTATGTTCAAAAGGGAATGAACTATTTTAAACTTGACATCAACCCTTTCTTTAATCATACGAGGATAATGATTAGATTATTTTGTTCATTGATTTCAGTTCAATTTTGTAAAAGTGCATTAGATTAAATTGACACAATATGAAAAATTAAAGGATAAAATTAATGAAATTATAACTAGAAATATTAAATTGTTATTAGAAACAAATTATAAGGATTGTGAGTGTAATTTGCACTAATTAGCAATAATAATGACTTTAGGTACTGTTTGTGCCGGCTAGTTGTTATCTGTTCCATACCCTTATTTCAGTTGTCTTTATTTACACCAACCTTTTATAACTTCCTAGATACCCTATCCAACACAAATCCCATTTATATTCCTACTAATTTGCTACGATCTGTTATATTATTTGCCAAATATTGGATAATGTAGCTTTTTAAAATATAAGTTTGACATTAAAGACAATAGCAAAACCAACAAAGATAATCTTAAAACTTGAGTTATTTTTATTTTTATTTTTTAATTCTTGCAAAATTTTGGTAATAATGAATGATATAGCAAACCATCTAAGACTAGAGGTTTGTTTGGCAACTTTGAAGTAAAATTATTAAGAATTCGATTTGTGTGGATTGAACCAATCTAGTTCGCGCTAATCTCATCATGAGCCTTATTTTGAAAATTCAATTTGTTAATTTTTTTAATTTTAATGTGTAGATTATTTATAAATAAATGAATAAATCAGATTAATACGACAAGCAGCCATAGGATTTCATCTCATTTATCTCAAAAAAATAAAAGAAGAAAAAAAAAGGACAAGTATGATTTAAAAACAAATAGTTCATGTTTTAAATATAAAAATAATTAAAATCAAGGGTAAATTACGGTTTAGTCCTATGTGATGGAGTTAAATACTTATAGATCTTGTATACTTTTTTAATGCAGTAATAGATCTTAGAATACTTGTTTTATTCTAACACTTAAAAAATAATGATAGGCAAAAAATATATAATTTATAAATAAATAAATTTGGTTAATAAGAATGCCCCTAAATCTCCATAAATCAATTATTGAATCAATTAAATCATTAAAATAAAACCATCATAATCTCACTTGCCCGAACTCAATCCAAAACGCAATTGGATTGGAGCTGCATTCAATTAGTGGAGTAGAAATGAACAAACAAGAACCGAAGTAAAGGGGCAAGATGAGCTTTTTGATAGAGATGTATATTTACTACATATCGTGTTAGCGATACACCTTCGACATATGATCATGATGATAGCTGGGCTGTCACTCTGGTGTGTTGTGCCCATCACATTAAACCAATTGCCAACTTTCTAGGCAAAAATAGACAACCAAATTACATACCTAAAATATCTAAACTAGTTTAAGTGGTCATAGAAAGGACATTTAGATGTCAAGATGAGGTTTCAGGTGGGAATTTTTGGAGAGATATTGGCTTGCATTGTAATATAATTACTAACACACTAACGTTATCTTTATCAAAAAAGAAAAAAGAAAAAAAGGCATTTCAGGAATATATATATTGAGAATTTTATTTAGAATTATGAATGTGTAGTTTAGGTTTCAATTATATATGAACTCACAATATATCATTTAAATCTCAACTTTCTATTTATTTTTTGAATCAATTTTCTAAAATCTTTTTAGGATCAAGTTTGGGATAGTAAAATTAAACCTTGTGTTAGACTGAGCCAAGATTGAAATGACATATGTTCACTATGTATGCAAGCTTAACCCCAATCTAACTTGACTGATTCTACGCCCACCCCTTTATACGCCATAAATCATGATGAAAAAGTAATTCAGTATCAACCACATTTAAAACTAAATATTTGTATAAAACTTATCACTATATATGAGAGGGTAAAAAGCATAAGTCCGGGCCGAGCTAGGACCAAGTAAAGGTGAGCCGAGTTGTGGGCTAAGTAAAGTAGGCTTCACCGTTGGGCCTAGATAGCTCGGCCTTAAATAACCCAGAGCCCAGCTAGTATGCCGAACCGAGGTACAGGAAGCTGAAGGGAAGAGCCGAGCTAGGTGAAGCTTGGCCGAATCTACCGCTTAAACATGGCAATATTAGCTCGGTCGTTTGTCATACCTAGCTAACCTCTTAAATGTGTTACCTCGGTCGTTTTGTCATACTATCGAGGTAAAACCATTTCACCTGCTTAAAGCAGTGGTAAGGGTGTTAAGGGATAAGCATAATCTTTTACAAATGTGATTCCTAGGAGGACTCTATATTGAGGAGTAAGAGTCCTACTAGGATTGTGCCACGCGGAACCTATAAAAGCTCATAACAGAACCTATATACAGGTATCACAACTTTGATTCCCGAATACACAGAGCTTTTGTCTACTTGTCTATTTTGCTGACTTAGGCATCGGAGAGGTATCCGGCATACACCCGCCGGCTAGCTCACGTTTGTGTTTTCAGGAAGTAAAGCGACGACGTTTGGAGGAGCGCAAACTTGATCAACAAGATTATACGAGAAGATTATTTCGTGCTCGTACAATTGGTGCCGTCTATAGGAACTCCACAAAGAACAAAACCTCTTGATCAAGCTTTCCTCTCTAGTTGGAAGCAATGGCGCACAATGAAGACTTGCCGCAATCGGCTATTGATGGGCAAACCCCGAAGGGGGGTGGGAGGCGCGAAGGTTTGACTTCTATCCCTCCCATGGCGAATTTAGAACCCCAGCGACGGAACTCCCGGAGGGACGCAAGGGAGAGACGGGGCACTAGCCCCCGTCACTCTCAAAGTCCTGATAGACAGAGGCGGAGGCTGGTTCCTCGAGTTCTAGAGGATCACGTGAGGGAGCAGGACAAGTTAATTAGGAAGATGACGGCAAACATGGAGACAATGAAGCGCCAGATAAAAGGGAAAGGGGTGGCGATAAGAGAGGAGCGCAAAGACAACACGCCCTCTCGCCACTCAGAGAATCATGATAGGCATACCACACCATCGTAAGCAGAAAATAGGAGCCTTAGAACAGGCGACACTCAATCGAGGACTTCCAAGACTCATTACTCCAGGTCTGAGAGAACGAGAACTGAGAGATCGTGTACTGAGGGAAGCACCTATCGGCCCTCGCATACGCACCAGACGACATCTAGGCACACAAAGTTGCCTAGATCATCTGACTTGCGAACAGTACTTGAAGACAGAGCCCGATGGAAGAACAAAACCAGGGCTCGCGACCCACCCACATAGAGTTTCAACACTACAGCGATTGGTCCCTAGGACACATGGGAGTGTCGAGGCAGGAATACTAATGTCGCGCCTTGCTTACGAACCAGCGGACAAAGTATTAGCAAGGTTACAGAGCTCGCCATTCGTTCCGACAATAGAGAACGCACCACTACCTTCAGGCTTCCACCAGTCCAAATTCATTACTTATGAGGGGAAGACGGACCCCTATATGCACTTAAACCATTTTCGCCAGGTTATGGCTGTATACCGGCGAAACGAGGCCCTGATGTGTATCATGTTCCCATCTAGCCTTGGCAACCTAGGTCTAACCTGGTTCGAAAGGCTACCAAAAGGCAGCATCGCCTCATGGGCACAATTAGCAGAGACGTTCGTGACTAGATTCAGAACAAATACCAAGATACTAGTGGAGAATTGATCAACTACTCTCCATTGACATGGGCGAAAAGGAGACATTGAGGTCTTACAACAGTCGATATTGGGAGACTTTTAACCAGATAGGGGATTGCCCTACAAATCTCGTCATCGCACAATACAAAAGAGGTCTACCAGTCGGAAACAAATTGAGGGACTCAATTACTATGATGCCACCCCTCACAATAGAGTCCCTAATGAAGAGAGTGCACCAACATATTCGCATGGAGAAAGATAACGCCTGTACTAAAGCAAAATCCGACACAACAGCAATACCAGATAGAAAGATTATAGCAAAAGTCAACACAGTAGAACAACCAAGCAGGTTATTGGGAGGCAGACGTCCCAACTCCTCCTTTTTTAATTATTGAAGTGTTACAGAAAATTTAATTTTCTGTGTGGAATTAATTTGGTTAAATAAAATTTTATTTATTTCCAAATTAATTGAAAAATAAAAGTTATATTCTTGTTTCTTTTATTTTTACAAAATTTAATTCTGTGAATTTGGATTAATTTTATGTGGTCAGATGGCCTGCCAAGCTAGGAGAAGCTCAGAAGGACTACGACGAAAAATCGCGGTGCACCTTTCATAAAGAAAAAGGGCACCGCACTGAAAATTGTACGCCATTGAGACAGCACCTGAAGCAGTTAGTGGCAGCTGGGCACCTGGACCAGTACATAGAAGGAGGGACACATCCAGCCCTCCAGAACCACAACAAACCAAACGGGATGCCGGTCGACGCTCCACCTCAAGGCGTAATTAACGTTATACATGGGATATTCGAGCCTAAGCGGGTATGTGAGCTTAGAGGGATGATCAAATAGGCTGAGCACTTAAGGGAGGTATTAAGTGCACAACCTACCATCAAAAAGAGGAGAACAGAGGCCACAAATGTCATATCTTTTTTAGACAAAGATTTAGTAAGGATATACTGCCCTTACAATGATGCACTGGTTGTCACT